CTTCCACACCCAGAGGAACCGCCTCAGTACCATTTTCTCGGCTACCTTACTGATAATGGAAGTAAGGCTGATGGGACGGTACGACTCCAACCGTTCAGGCGACTTACTAGGTTTCAGGAGTGGGACGATGGTCGCTCGTCGCCACTCGGCCGGGATGATTCCTGTCGTCCAACTGTGATTTATGCATCGGAGAAGAAATCGGAGACCCTTCGACGACAAATGTCGCAGTGCCTCACTGTGGACTTCGTCCGGTCCGGGGGCCTTGCCAAACGGTGTACTTCGCAGCGCAGCAAGCAGTTCCGGTTCGCTAAAAGGGGCATCGAGAGGGGAGGGGGGAGAGCCTATCGTAGAAGGGGCGGCAGACTCGCTGGTGTTCTGCGGCCCAGAAGAGGGGGGAAGAGAAAAACCTAAGGCCTCGCTGTGGGGGTTTTGTCCTTTACAAAACCGATGTGGTTTGCGAGGGAGGCAGGGGGGAAGAAACCTACGATTGAAAGCGTTCGCCGCTTTTCTGGCTGTCCTAAAATTTTGATGGCCGTCGCCCAACAACGCTGACGTTGGGGAGGGCTCGGGTGCCCGTTTTCGTCCGGAAACATATTTCCAGGAGAGGTGTTCGCCTGGATTTAACTTGCTGATACGCCGGTGGTACATCGTGCGCAAGCGCTCTCGGAGGAGAACAAAGAACTGATTTCGTGTCCGGTGCATGTCTGCCTCACGGGCGGGCGACGGTATCTGCAGATAGCGGGCCTTGCTGTCGGTAGCAATCCGCTCTGCTTCCGCGAGGGTGGGGTCCCAGAACGTGGGCCCACCCTTGTGCATGCCACGGGGGCAGTGCTTTCGAAGAGAAACCGTAAGCGCGTGCGTAAACGCTTTAACGCCGGATGTCAGTTTTTTGTGGTCGTACGCGGGAAGTTGTAGGTCAAGATCCTTTGCGAAGGAATCCCACTTGCACTTCCCCCAGCTGTAAAAAATGCGGCGTGCCGAAGGGGGGGCCGAGGGTATGGTGTCGACAAATGCTCGCTGTAACGTAAAAGTCAACATGTGGTGGTCGCTAAGCGGCGACACTGAAGCTCTCCAGTCTGACACGGCAAGGGACCTTGACCACGTCAGGTCGAGAGAGGATCTCTCCGTGCGTCCGCGGGCATGCGTGATCTCACCAGGGGCGTTAGCCAGGGTGAGCCCCGCATCCAAGCACAGGTCTAAAAATTCCACGGCAACGTCGGTTGGAGGGCTCTCCATAAAAGGCTCCCACTGTGGGTGGTGAACATTGAAATCACCACACAGAAGGACCGGTGACGAGGCCGGGAAACACGTCAGCAATCTGCGGAAAGATTGCGTCACTCGCGGCGGTGGTGGCATGTAGGCATTTGCAATGATGAGGTCACGGTTCTGGGATACAGCCACTTGAACCACCACCACTTCCAGGCTGGGGTCATCTTGGGGGACGGTGAAGGGCACGCGCCGGGAGCGAAGGGTCCTCCGCACCAATGTTGCCACTCCACCGCCCCTTCCTGTTCGACTTTGCGCGTAGAGCACGTACTCGCCAGTGTTGTACGTGGCAAGCTGCTCCGGCGACCTCCAGGTCTCCTGGACGGCTATGATGTCCGCGCCGTACGCCATCAGAGTGGCGAGTTTCACTTGCGAGAGGGCGGAGACGTTCATTTGGAGTACTGCTAAGGGGC